TCCGATGGAAATACTTTCTTCATAGAAGTTGTTCCAATGGGTGTCTAGTATAACATATCCAAATTTGAGCCCCATTGGATACGTTTTGAAACCTCTGGCCTTCCTACACCAAGCCTGGTTCAGAAAACTCGTTTTTGTTCAGCACCCAAAAGAAGACCACATGGGTTGGAAGAAGACCACATGGGTTGGCAGCAAAAGGCAGCCACAACTGATCACCTTTGAACCCATGTGAAGAAAGCTTGAGGTACAGCAGCAAAAGATGAAGGATGGTGTGGGAGTTCATCATGATGTTCCTCCCTCTTTGCCCTATAAATAGAGAAGTCTTCAAGCTTCAAAACACACCCCAAGGGGGGTAGCTCGCAAACACTTCTCTAGAGCTCCCTTCCCTTCTCTCCCTCACATTCTCTTAGTTTCCTTTCAAGTTGTCAATTTTTGTAACAAAATGAGTTTACTAAATTTTCCTTCAAGTTTTCTTAGTTCTACTTTACTTTTATTTGTAATGTACATTCTTTCTTAAGTATTCATACATACTTGGTTGTTTAAAATGCTCTTCTATGCTTAATGGGTTCCTAATGCTTAATTTTAGGTTAGACAACAAATGATCAAATTAGGGAATTAGGAACACAAGGTTAGGACCAAACACCGTGGCTTAATCATACTTTAGCTAGAATCAATCCGTTAATCTAATTGAACTTGGGAACTTATCTACTTGAGTTATTTTCTTTTCTTTCTTTCTTGTTTTATTTATTTTCTTTCTTGTTTTTCTGTTTTGTGTAGGAAAACTGAATTGGATAATTCAATCACCAATCCCTGTGGAATCGACCTCGCACTTACATATGCTATACTACCGAACGGCTCGTGCACTTGCGAGTATCGCAAGTTGAGGATGCAGCTGAATCTATTTTGGTGTAGCTGAATCGACGCAACACTAGGTAGGCCGTTGAGATTCTAATAAAGGTCATGGTTCATTCTTGAACAAATTGGCCACTTAGTTTTAAAAAATAAAATAAAAATAAAAATAAAAATATGAAGTTGGCCTCCTCATATGACATATTATACTTTGCTTGGTGGAAGGCTCAAGATTGAGTTTTGTTGGCGGAAGATGAATGATTCCTTTATTTCGGCCCTGGAAGTGGAAGTTTGTGATTTGGGGGCAAAAATGACTTGGGGGCATGTCCACCACCTGAGTAATCTGTCGAAGGGATTCATATGACTTCAATCATAATCAAATGGTTGGTTCACTCCTCAGGTATACTCAACGACAAAATGTTCCGACCGCTTAACAAGGAAAATGGCCTCGGCCGAACCACGGCCTTCGACGAAAATGATTTCGACTGAGATCCGATCGTCGGTCCCCGACCACATGTTGGTTGAAGATGTTACGGAAGTTGTTGGAGGACTATTCTTGAAGCCAAATCCTGCCACTTCTTTGGAAATCCAACAATTCATCCGTGCAATGGGGGTGTCGAACAGCCTCAACCATCAGCGAATGCAAGAGGTGGCTCAAACCATTCCTTAAACCATGGCCACTAAATCAACGAGCGATTTGATCGATTGCTAGGCCAACAAATGTCCAAATGGGAACCAAGTGGCGCCTAATGGAGTGCCAGTGTCGGGGCCTCAAGCGGAGGCTTAACCAAATGTCTTTGGAGTGAATCCGCCCCAACCTAATCCACCAGCTGGGGGCAACCCAGCCCCAGCGGTTGATGTTCCGTCGATGGGTAACAACCCATATGTGATGGCCAACCAATTCCAAGAGTTCCCAACATATAATCAATTCTACCCACAAGTTCACCAAGGGGCCGGAGCCAATTTTACTGGGCCTCATATCAACCGATTTTTTCACAAAATGGGTGGAGGCCGTCCCACTCAAGCAAGTCACCCAAGTCAAGGTGATAGAATTTATTAAGAAGAATATCATCCTCCGATTTGGTTTGCCCGAATCCATCATGACCGATCGAGGAACGGCTTTCATGGGCGAGGCTGTTCAAGCGGCCGCGAGAAATTGGGGAATTAGGATGGTTCAATCCATCCCGTACAATCCCCAATCGAATGGCCAAGCGAAGTCTAGTAACAAGGTGATAAAAGGGATTTTGGAAAAAATTATCGACAATAATCCTAAGGAATGGCATTCTCTCCTCTCCAATTCTCTATGGGTGTACAAAACGTCAAAAAGGTCTACCACACAAACGACGCCATTCGCCCTCACCTACGGCCACGATGCCGTCCTACCACTTGAGATTTCGGTCAAATCTCTAAGGGTAGTTTGTCATGCTGAATGGAGTAGGGGCGAATATGAGCCAGCCATGGCACAAGAGTTAGACGACCTCGACGAGATTAGGTTGGGCACTTTAGACAAATTGAGGGCCCAAAAAGAGGCGGTGGCTCAAGCATACGACAAGAGAACCAAGGCCAAGAGTTTTGGGATTGGAGATCTAGTATGGAAGACCATTCTTCTGGTGGGATCAAAGGATCCAAAATTTGGCAAGTGGTCTCCAACTTGGGAAGACCCATTTCTCGTCCACCAAGTCTTAGGGAATGTGGCTTACAAGTTAAGTGACCAAAATGGTCGGGTCCATGACTCTCCGATCAATAGTCGATTTTTGAAAAAAATACTACCCAACGGTTTGGGAGATGGCGGAAAGATAGTCCGCCACAAAGAAATTTTTTATAGTGAAATAATGATTTTTTATTGGAAGAATGGGCATTATAAAAGGATCTTTTCCAAAAGATATCATATATATATATAGGTGGGCAAAAGTGTACTACAAAATGGGCCCAAGCAATGGCCTAAGCATCCACCGAAAACTAAGCTAGTTCTACCACATGTGGTGACCAAATTAAAAAAAAAACTAGCTAAGTACAAAATGGGCCAACTAATGGCCAAGTATGAACTTAAGCATCAGGAAAAAGGGTGCAAATGGCAGTCCTGAAACTCTCCACCACGATATCTCTGACCGACAAGGTAGACTGGAGGGTTACCTTTCTCTCTCGGTACGCTCCCGCCCATTGCTTCGAACAATCTCGGAGACTCTGGCAACAATGGAAGCCTTCTTCTCTTGAAGCTATCTCACCTGCTCGTCAATATCCGCGGCCTCTTGTTGCAGCTGGCAGGCAATCTCGATCTCATTCCTCATGGTTGCACTACATGAGGTACTTCGCTGCTCTAGGTCTTGGCCCATCCTTTGCTCCTCTAGGAGAGAATGGCGGCGGGGGGCAAACTTCTCCACTTGGCCAAAGAGATAGGTGATCATGGCCGCCGAGGGTGGATCTGGGAAGAAGCCAGAGCTCGCCAAAGTCTCAATGGAGGCCTTGAGCTTGTCCCTCTCATCCTTGTCCTCTAAGGACATGAGGTCTCTATCTCTATATGACCGAAGTAGGGCCACCTCAGCCCCGGAATTTGGTAAGGGCCCGATCGTGGTGGAAGAAGCGGCAAGGCGAGTGGAAGCCTCCGCCGAAGATATGGATGCGTCCTACTGATCAAGAAAGTCAAAAATATCATCGGAGGGCTGCAAGAAAAATAATGGGCATTATATTCTCAAGTAAGGAAAGTAAATTGCATATGTATATACGTATATATTTCTTATTTCATACCTGATCATGGGATGATTGAGGGGCTTCTTCGTGAGGGGCCATGGCCAAGCTTCTTTCATCCTTCGCCGACAGATTCATGGTGATCTCAGCGGGAATAAAGGATAAAGACTCTCCAACCTGACAAAAGGGCATAAGAGTTATAATAATGGCCCATATATTTGAAATAAGTATGAAAACTTCGGGGCTTACCTCAAGTTGAAGTCCGGGCGGAATAGTATCGACCACCAAGGCGGGTGGTGCACCACTGGTGACGATCGCATGATCGACCGTAATGGTGGTAGACTCCACCACATCCACCTAAAAAAGGAAGATATAAGTTTTCTAACAACTAGAAATCTTTAAAAAAATATTAAAGGAGAATAATATTACCTGAAAAGTCGGGCCACTTCGGGGCGCCTCGAGAGGGCGAGTCGAGGGGGGGTCTGAACTCATGGCAAAAAGAAGCTGAAAGTCGTAGTGTCGGCCGAAGAAAGTTCGAGGCCAAAAGTGGCCCGCTAACATGTGCAAACATTGAAAATAAGAAATTGGGGGCAAGTGTAAAAGAAATTTTAAAAGTATGAAATTTCAATGAACCTGAGAGTTCGGAATGTGTGGGAAGTCCTCCTCAGTTAGCTCAGCCACGTGCTCATGGGCGTGATCATCGGGCATGGGAATAGTCTCGTGTGACCCCATGGAAGCCTCCTCCGGGTGCCCATTAGCATTGACCTCGGCCGACTAAGTTTGAAAATTTAGCAAGCATAAAAGAAGTGTTGTGTAAAAGGAAATTCAAGCGGCTAAAGAAACGGGCTTACCTCATCTTCGACCACCGGGGCCATGACTTGCGCCCCAATTTCCTTCTCAAGTGTGGAAGGTTGAGTTTCCTACATTTTCGGGCATAAGGGTGAGTTTTGGCCCTTCAAAACTAATAAATGAAAATATGTAAAGATATAAGCTTACTGGAGCGGTGGAAGAAGTAGTGGCCGATTGCACGGCCTCGATCAAGTGAGAAGGGGAAGGATGCTCCGCCGGCCGTGTGGAACCTACGACAAGTCTAAGTTAGTTTAAAAATATAAAATATATAAAATAAAAATAAAAAAATAAAATAAAAAGGGTGCACGGCCAAACCTTGGGGTGAGAGGTTCCGCGGAACTTTTCCGGGCCGAAGGAATGTCTGTGAGGGCACGATATTTCCGGCAGGGGTATCAACTAAAAGGTTGGGGGTTTAAGCTCTTAGAAGTGCCCATCAGAAATTCAGAAAGCTGAAAGTGCAAAGTTTTAAAAGGGCAAAAGTAATCCTAGAGAGTAGCTTACCTTGGATGGGGGCGTTAGGCCTTTTCACGCCTCGCCTAGAATTAGCATCAGTGGGATTGGCAAGGCCCTCTCTCTCAATAATGTCGGCGGGAGGATTTTCCTTCGCGGTGGTGTCAGCTATGAGATTTGAAGGGTTAGAAAGAAGGAATATAGCCAAAATTAAAATGAAGATGTTTGGGCCTGGTTGAAATTTGACCAGGTCAGGCCCAAGATCCGACAAGTAAATTAACATTAAGCCCAATCAATGGGCCTAATCAATAAGGTCGGATAGAAGCCCAAAATCATAAAGGTGGCCGAATATCTACATGTGGCTGCGTACATTAATCTGGCCAAGCATATCAATACGGCCGAGAGCATAAAAGCGGCCGAAAGTGTAGATACGATCGAATGACTAAAAGCGGCCGAATACATGAAATCAACCAATGTTTAAATAAGGAGAGAGATAATTCGTAGGAGGATTTTCTCATAGGTTACAATTCAAATATAGAAGGAATTATGCCAGATTGATGGTCAACCGAAGTTATTGTGGGAGAGCTCAAGATGGAAGGAAAATCAAATCAAATATTATTATTCATATTTAATCACATGCATGAGACAAGGGATTGAAGATATTATGGAGCAATTATGATTGATTTGAAGGCCAATTGACGACCGACCAAATTGAGACGCACCGAAGCCCCTATAAATACCAGGCTTATGGAAGAGAGAAAGGACCCCCGACACAACACACAACTTGTCATTTTACATTCTCTTCAATTTCTATCATAGGAGTAGCATAATGTAGCCATAGCCTAGTTCTTATTTTTTCCACTCTAGTTTCCGAAGATTTCAATTATGCCTTTATGTTCTTGTTCTTGTTTTTCAATTCTATTTCAATTACAATAATTTCAATTCATGTTATCTTCACTGTTATTCGTAATCTAGTTTACTTTCTGCCCTTTACTTTACGCACTCGCATTTCAATTATTTAATTTATGCAATTTACTCTACGCACTCGCATTTCAATTATTTAATTTATGCAATTTAC